CGACAGAGCTCCACCTGCAGGCTCTGGGGCAGCAGGTGCAGACATCCGTCTGTTGCATGCAGGGGGTCTACTGGTGTGCAGATGTGTCGGGGGTGGGGGTGGGTGGTTCACCTCCTTGGGACCCCACTGACTGCTCCCACACGTCACTTCCCGTGTGCGGAGCAGCAGAAGCCTCCGGGCCACCCTAACACGTCCTCCTCATGTTGTGGGAGAACTGGAATCGGAATTCCTGTTCCACGTTCTTGCCTTTCACCTACCTAGAGAAGCGAGTGTTCTAAGTAGAGGCACAAATACGCCGCATGGAGTGAGAAGTTTATTTAAAAGGTGGGAAACACACACACACACACACACACACACACAAGGGTATGGACTGGGTGGGGGGGAGTAGAGAGACAGTGCCTCAGCTCCCTGTCTCATCCCCATCTGCAGAGAGAGAGAGAGAGAGAGAGAGAGATCCTCCCAGTTTGCTGGCCTCTTAGGAGGTTGGAAAGGGAGTGGTTACTGGTGCCTTCCCCAGGTCCCACGTGAAGGGAGATACATCCTGAGGGAGGAGTGATTTGACTGACAGGTAGGCATACACGGGGTGGGGAGGCGTGGCTGCTTGCTTTATCCCCACCGCTCAGCTCAACCCCCACGGGAACCCACGCTGGCACGGAGATCTGCGGAAGAGGGTGAGGAGAGGAAGGATGGAAGAAGGATGAGCAATGGAAAGAAAAAAAAGCAGCCAGTGGAGAGAGGGGAGGGCAGGGGAGGGGGAGGGGAGAGGAGGCACGGGGCAACGCGGCTGAGACCGTGCCGCCCCCTGTGTGCCAAACCCGCGCTTCCACAGTGCCCAACTTCCGCTTCAGTGAACACCAAGAGGCAAATGGTCTCTAAAACCCCAGCTTCAGTCCACACCTCCGCTGAACACCCAGCCGCCTGTGTGCTGATGCCTCCCAGGCGCGGATGGAGAGGAGGAGGGGACAGTGCTGGCCTCCGCCTCCACCTCCGGTGGTTAATTCAATACCAGGGCCCTCGCTGTGTAAATAGCACCCGTGAAGATAAAGGCTGTGGCCCTGGACTCCAACCTCTGCCCGACATTCCACCTGCAACCCACCCCCCACACACCGGGGTCCAGAATGTGCACGTAAACAAAGTAGCTGCAGCAGCTGAGCTGGTGGGCTGAGATTCGAACACAGACCCCAGTGCCGCCGCGGCCCCTCTCCACTCTGCTAAGGCTGAGATTTGAACACAGACCCCAATGCCGCCGCGGCCCCTCTCCACTCTGCTGCCTGCACCTCTCCCCATTCCACATGGGGTCAGCTCCCTTCCTAGTCATCTGCACCCTCCCAGCTTCTGCCCGCTGACGAGATGGCAGTGAACTTGAGGGGCCGGCCCCTCAAGACACCACAGCTGCCAGAGGGAGGTTCACAAGGCCTCTGAGAAACGGGGGTGAACCCCAGGAGAGGCCCCATGCCTCTGTTCTTCAACACCAGGGGAAGCGGAGGAGGCTGAGGGGACCCCAAACACTCTCTCTGCCCACACTGGCCTCCATAGCCCACTGCTCACCCCGTCCCCGCCCCTCCACTGCCACGGTGCTGGGAGGCAGCAGGTGTCTGGGCAGGCCAGGGGCGCAGCCGCAGCGGGACAGCAGCACAGGTCAGCCAGCTCTGCCAGTCCCAGTCCCTTCTCCCTCTCACCGGTCAGGGCTTCCGAGCGCAAGACCAGCCTGCGAGAGAGCAGTGGCCCAGAGGGGGCCAGGAGGGCACTGAGAGGAGGGGGCGTTCAGCGGCCATACCGGAAGCGGTTTCCACTCCTCTCTCCCCACCCTCCCTCAGCTCCCAGGAGGGATACAAGGTAGCATCTAGGCTTTATTTATTTTTAGTTTAAATTTTTCTTTATATATTTAAAGATTTATTTTATTTAAGTGAAAGACAGAGTTACGAGGTAGAGACAGAGAGAGAGAGAGAGAGATCTTCCATCTGCTGGTTCACTCCTCAAATGGCCGCAACAGCCAGAGCTGGGCCAGGCAGAAGCCAGGAGCCAGAAGCTTCTTCCAGGTCTCCTACCTGGTGCAGGGACCCAAGCACCTGAGCCATCTGACCCTGCTTCCCCAGGCCATAGCAGAGAGCTGGATCAGAATAGGAGTAGCCGGGACTCGAACTGGCGCCCACATGAGATGCTGGTGCTGCAGGCTGGGACTTGAATGCACTGTGCCACAGTGCTAGCCCCTTCTTTATATATTTGTTTAAGAGGCAGAGAGAGAGACAGACAGACAGAGCGAACACAGAGATCTTCCGTCTGCTGGTTAACTCCCTAAATGCCTGTAATGGTGGTGACCAGGAAAGGGTGAAGCCGGGAACTTATCCAAGTGTCCCCGCTGGATGGCTGGGACCCAGAGACTTGGTAACTGACGCCACGGAGGGTGTGCATTGGCAGGAAACTGGAGCAGGGGCTGGGACTGGGACGCAGGCACCGTGGGGGGGGGGAGGGGGTGCCGACGTCTTCCTCGCTGGGCCAGGGGCCTGAGCTGCAGCTTAGGTTCGTAACCTCCTCCAGGTGTATGGGTCGCGGCCAAGGCAACAGAGCTCCAGGGAACACGAACTCTTTGGGACCAATACTCAGATTTCTGGGAATTACAGTGGCTATGGGAGTCATGATTGGTCTCAGTACGGATAGTACAGACTCCAAGGAACAGTGCCGTAGACACAATGAGAGCGTATTCTCTCTGCGGAAGTTCGGAGGTAGCCAGCTCAGGGCTGAGCCACCAGCTTGGTTTCGCTAGATCTGGGGTTTTCACTCCAGGACACCATTGTCCCATCACATCTTCATGAGCCAAGCTGGCAGCGAAAGTGCAAGCCATCACACCTATATCCCAAGCAGCTGGGTAGCAGACAAAGGAAGGGACAAAAGTCTGGTTGATTTCAGATTTCTTAGCAGCAAGACTACGTTTAAGAAAGAGTTGAGGGGCCAACGCTGTGGCGTAGCGGGTAACGCTGCCGCCTGCAGTGCCGGGCACCAGTTCAAGTCCCGGTTGCTCCACTTTCAATCCAGCTCTCTGCTATGGCCTGGGAAAGCAGTGGAAGATGGCCCAAGTCCTTGGGCCCTGCACCCACATGGGAGACCTGGAAGAAGCTCCTGGCTTTGGATCAGTGCAGCTCCAGCTGTTGGAGTCATCTGGGGAGTGAACCAGCAGATGGAAGACTTCTCTCTCTCTCTGCCTCTTCTCTCTCTGTACAACTCTGACTTTCAAATAAATAAATCTCAAAAAAAAAAAAAAAAAAAAAAACTAAGAAAGAGGGGCCGGAGCTGTGGCACAGCGGGTTAATGCCCTGGTCTGGGGCGCTGGCATCCCATATGGGCGCCAGTTCTAGTCTCAGCTGCTCCTCTTCCAATCCAGCTCTCTGCTGTGGCCTGGGAAAGCGGTGGAAGATGGCCCAAGTCCTTGGGCCCCTGCACCTGCGTGGGAGACCTGGAGGAGGCTCCTGGCTCCTGGCTTTGGTTCGGCGCAGCTCCAGCAGTTGCGGCCATCTGGAGGGTGAACCATCAAATGGAGGACTTCTCTCTCTCTGCCTCTCCTCTCTCTGTGTAACTCTGACTTTCAAATAAATAAATAAATCTTTAAAAAAGAGTTGAGTAACAGTTAATAATAACTTGGAACACAGGTTTGGATCTGTAGATAAACTATCAAATGTGTAGAGCCAGGAGTTTCTCAGATAGCCCCAATTTGAAACCACCCTTGGAGGAATCACTCGACCCTCGGAGAGAAGCCAACCCAGCGGTGCCAGGAGGAGGGACTAAATCACTGTCAATTAATGGTGCGGTGCCAGCCAGCCAGGCACAGCCCCTGGCCCCCTCCGGGCCACTGCCCTGGCACCTGGTGGGGTGGGGAGAAGCATGGGGCCTCTCCCGGGTCTCACCTCTGTTTCTCAGAGACCTTACTAATCTCCCTCTGTCTCCTCTGGAGCCCCTGGGGCTGGGGGGGGGGGTCACAGCAAGGGGCAGGCCCCTCAAGAACGCTGCAGTCTTGTCGGCCCTGGGTGATTGTTTGCACAACACCCGTGGCCATCTGAAGCTGTTACTCCTGTGTGTATCCGTGCCTTGTCTCTCTGGCCATCTGAAGCTGTTACTCCTGTGTGTATCCGTGCCTTGTCTCCCTCCATCAGTGCCAGGCGGACAGGACCCTGCCTGCTCACAGCTCTCTCCGCGCACAGGGCCCAGCGTGTGCCCCAAATGCTTCGTAGATAGCAAGTGAGTGATTGCAGCTCTGAGCCCTGACCAAGCTCAGGGTTCACACAGGATGCGGCCATTGCAGGCCATGGCTTAACCCATTGTGCCAGCACGCCAGCCCCTAAGCACAGCGTCCTGACGTGTGCTTGACCCTTTGATCAATTGCTGAGCAACGCAGACGGGGAAGCACCTTGACCGCACTGTCCAAAGCCACGGCCACGAGCCACGTGCTGCCATTGATTGAAATTAAAGAAAATTCAAAACTCAGCTCCTCCCTGGCGGGAGCCAGATTTCCAGTGCTCAGCAGTGGCTCCGTGGGGCTCGTGGCTACCGCAGTGGTCGTGGGACACACAGCCATCCCCACAGATGCTCTGGGGGACAAAGCTGACCCTTAGAACGAAAGGAAACGCATTCCTGCTTCTGCCCCGGCCTGCTGACATCCGTTTTTGCTGTGCCTAGCCCAGGGGCGGGGGGCAGATCAGAGCCCCCTCCCATGTCCTCCTCTGCCCCACAGGGAGCAATATGTCTGCCTCATGTCCTACCCCTTTCTCTGTGCCTTCTCTGCCCACACCAGCAGCATGGCCAAGGCAGGCCGGGTCCACACACCACGCAGAACTCCCGATAAATGGCTGTTCCCGGTCTCGAGGCGGTGCTACCTCGTGCATCCGCCAGCTCTGCCTTACCATGGAGGGCCCGAGCGAGGCAGCCTCCCTTTATAAGGAAAAGGGGTTGATTTTGGCTCAAGTCCTGGAGGTTCAAAGTCCCTGGTGGCGACCTTTCTGCAGGCAGACCAGGCCCAGAGACGGGCGCCCTGTGCACAGCCTTCGGGGTCAGCCGCGGGGGCTCCACGCTAACAGCCTCACCCAATCTAATCGTGTCTCTGAGCTCTATGGTTGGAATGGGTTCCACTGTCTTGGCACCACTGACATAAGCCTGGAGGCGAAATCCCCTCCTGTGCCAGTGTGCACCTGCTCCGGGGACACGGCTGTCTGCCGCCGCCCGGCAGGTGCCAAGTGTCTGCAAGGCTGGCTGGACCCGGGGAGGAAGGCAGGAGGCCTCAGGGACTGCGGAAGGAGCCACCCGTAGGGGACTGGGGACACAGTCCCCTCCCTCCCACCCCGCCCCCGCCCCGCGGCCCTGCCGGGGGTCCGACCGCCCGGGCCCCGGGGGGGCGTGTCCTGCTGACCCAGGCGCCGGGAGGCGGGCAGGGGAGCAGGGCGGCGGCGGCGGCGGCGGCAGCGGCGGGCGAGCATGGAGCGCGAGCTGGAGGCGCTGGCGGCGGCGCCTGCCCTCCCGGCCGAGCCGCCCTTCCAGGCGCTGGTGGAGGCGGCGGGCGGCCGCGGGCAGGTGCTGCTGGTGGGCGAGCTGTGGGAGCGCGAGGCGAGCCGCGCGCTGCTGCGGGACTTCGCCCGCGCCGTGTTCCCGCCCGAGCCGGCCACGGCCAAGCCGGGCGGCCCCGCCGCGGCGGCCGAGGGCGCGGAGCCCCGGGCGGCGCGCGCCATCCGCTCGCCGCTCGTCTTCGTGCTATGCCGCGCGTCGTCGCTGGCTGCCCGGGAGCCGCGGCGCCGCCTGCGGGAGATGCTGCGGGACGTGCGCGGCCGGCGGCGGGCCGGCGCGGCGCTGGTCGGGGTGCTGGTGGCCGAGACCGGACCCGAGGACGCGGCGGCGGCGGTGGCGCCGGGGCTGCGGCTGCTGGAGGCGCTCCTGCGCACGGTCTTCGGCCGCCAGGCGGGAGGCCCGGTGCAGGCGGCCGCCTACTGCCCCGGCCGCCCTGCCTCCAGCCTGGCGGTGCAGGCGGCCGCCTGCAGGGCCCTGCAAGCCGCGGGGCCTGGGCGACCAGGTGAGGCTGCACGGGGCGGCGGGGGCGGGCGGAGGCTGGGGGAAGCCCCCAGCTTGGACCCCTTTTGGCCGGGCCCCCTCTCACTGCACCTAGGTAAACTGAGGCTCGGAGCGGGGAGGTGCCCAGCGCCGGGCTCCCCAGCTAGCAGACAACGAGCCCTGGTCAAGGGGTCGAGTCTGTCCTGGGAGTGCAGGGCCTAGGACAGCCGAGGGGACCTGCAGGAGGCGGGGAGGTGGCTGGAGAGGAGCGCCGGAGCGAGCAGGTGGAGGGAGATGCGAGAGCCTGGCGCGGCGAAGTCATTTGCGCGGTGGCGCTGTCAGGAGCTCCCAGGGCGCAGCGCAGCTCGGGGCGCGGGGGGCCAAGGAGGGCGTCTCCAGCGCGGCGCGGCCCAGGGTGCGAGCCTGCTGGGTCGTGGGAACGAGGCGAGGAGCCGTGCCAGGGACCCGGGGCTTTGCTGGGGGCGGAGAGCGCAGAGTTCTCCAGCGCCTCCTGGCGGCGCACCCTGGCTGTGCAGCCACCTGGGTGTCTCCCTGCCTCCCGCAGGTGCGCCCAGCGCGCTCCACGCGCTCCTCGCGTGTAGGGAAGCGAATGAGGGTCCTTTCCTGCTACCTGCGGCAGAAAGATCAGATTCTCTCCATTCTGCAGATCGCGGCACTCCCCAGCTCGCAGCCCCGCACCCCGCACCCCGCCGGCGCAGCCCTCCAAGCCCCCCAGCCTCTAGTTCTTCAAACGCGAGCTCAGAGGGAGCCAGCTGTACACCCCCACGGCCTTGGCTTCCCACGGGGAGATGCCAGACCTGGGAGCGAGGGGCTCTCCCTGCAAGAAGACCTGGTACCTGTGACGGTACACATGTCGCAAACTCAGCTGCCTGCCCTGGCCTCTGGCAGAGGTCTTTGCCCCACCCCCACCCTAGCTGTGGGATCTGCCCTAAGGGGCTGCCGGGGCAGGAGAGATGGGGTCCCGGGAGGGGCGCGAATGCCCCAGGTGGACTGCTGTGATTGCCTCCCAGGGAGAAAGCAGGGAATAGAGGCAAATTCTCCCGCACCCTGTAGAGGCGGTGCCTGCAAACTCCTGCCGGGCTCTGGGCTCTTCCCTTTCTGTGTCCAGCTCCCCCAACCACGCTTGCTTTTGCGCCTGTGGCTGCTGCCTGGGCCTAAGAAGCCTCTTGTGCCCTCCCCTTCCTCTGCACCTGGCCACTGGCCTGCCTCCTCCAGGAAGCCTTCCCCTATCCTCCCCGTTCCCGAGTGGAAATTCACCAGGAAACTCCAGGACCCTTGCACCTCCTGCTCTGTAAGCCCTGTCCCTTGTAAGCCAAACCTCCGCCCCGGCGGCCTTCCCACTGCCTGACACCCTGCCTGGGTGCAGAACGGGTGGATGAGGCCCCGCCTCCTCTTAAATGCACCGGAGCGCTAGTGACAATGGCATGCTTTGCAAAGTGTTAAGGGACTCGTTCTCTGCTGTGGTAAATGCTTCCCAGTGTTAGGAAAACACGCGGGGCAGGATAAACCCCTCCACGAGTGAAGGAAGGTCACGCGTATCCTAGATCTCGCCGCCCACCAAGTTCTGTGCTGTGGCGGCGCTGTTAGCCTTAAGCCCGTGGCCTCATGTGGCCTCATGTGGCTACGATGTTCCCAGCCGCTGTGTCTGTCAGCGTTTGCTGATCCCATTCCTCACTGCCCGAGGGCAGTTTTTTATTTTCCTAAATTGCTTGTCTTTTGGCAGTGCCCTTGGTTTATTTGCCTAATCCAGCTGCCTTTGGGTTGGAAAACTAAAGATCTGGCTCCGTTGGAACTGAGAGTAAATTAAGAGTAAAACGACTTGGAATAACGATTAGGAACAAGGGCTTTTTTGGCTGCCAGGAGTTGTTTGTTTTTTTCTTAAGTTTATAGGATTTTAATATATATGTGTGTATGTTTATTTTTATTCTATTTGAAAGGCAATTTGACAGAGACAGACAGAGAAGGATCTTCCATTTGCTGGTTTACTCCCCAGATGCCCACAATGGCCAGGGCTGCGCCAGGCCGAAGCTGGGAGCCCAGAATCTGATCTTGGTCTCCTATGTGGAAGGCAGAGACCCCGATACTTGAGCCATCATCCGCTGCCTCCCAGGGTGAGCACTAACAAGAGGCTGGGCTGCAAGCGCTGTAGCTGGGGCTGAAACCCGGCACTTCACCATAGCATGCAGGCCGCTCCTGCTCCACATGGCCACCCTCTTTTCATTAAAAAAAAAAAAGTTATCTAGTTATTTGAGAGACAGATTTTTTTAAACACACAGTTCCTGGGGCTGGTGCTATGGTGTAACGGGTTAAAGCTGTGGCCTGCAATGCTGGCATCCCACAGAGGCACCAGTTCTCATCCTGGCTGCTCCACTTCTGATCCAGCGCCTGGGAAAGCAGCAGAAGATGGACCAAGTGCTTGGGCCCCTGCACCCACGTGGGAGACCCAGAGGAAGCTCCTGGCTCCTGGCTTTGCCCTGGCCATTGCGGCCATTTGGGGAGTGAACCAGTGGATGGAAGGTCTCTCTCTATCTCTCTCTCTCTCGAACTCTGCCTTTCCAATAATCAAATAAGTCCTTAAAAAAAAATGCAGCTCCCTTGGCTTGACTTTAGATAGTCGTGGCTCTCAGACTAGCTCTAGATGACTGAAATCATATTCTGATCTTCATAAGGAAACTAGAGTCAATGTTATTCCAAATTGTTATTGTGCAAAATCTATCCCTGTTGGGGGTCAGTGCCCTGGCTCACTTGGTTAATCTCTGCCTGTGGCACCGGCATCCCATATGGGTGCTGGGTTCTAGTCCTGGTTGGGGCACCGGATTCTGTCCCGGTTGCTCCTCTTCCAGTCCAGCTCTCTGCTGTGGCCCGGGAGGGCAGTGGAGCATGGCCCAGGTCCTTGGGCCCCTGCACCCGCGTGAGAGACCTGGAAGAAGCACCTGGCTCCTGGCTTCGGATCGGCATAGCACGCCAGTCATAGCAGCCATTGGGGAGTGAACCAACAGAAGGAAGACCTTTCTCTCTGTCTCTCTCTCACTGTCTGTAACTCTATCTGTCAAATAAATTAAAAAAAAATCTTCCTGTTAAGAGACAAAATCAGGGAGCGATCTCTGCCCTATGAGTGTGTTCTTTGGTGCCAGGTGCTTGTAATTAATCTCATATCCTTCCCATGTCCTTTGCATCCATCGCTGTGGTTTCCCCGTCAGTCACTCCATCACAGGGCACTGGGAAGGACGGAGCGAGGTAACCGGTCCATTGAATCTAGGCGGCTGGCAGTGGAGGCTCTGGGGTGGCAGCGCAGAAAATCTGACTTCGGAAGCACGAACCGCTTGACCATCTGCCTCTGGGGTTTTGTGTTTTTCCTAGCAGAAGGAGCAGGGGAGAGGCCGGGCCTCCCGCGGCTGCTGGCCTGCTTCTCTTGGGGTCCCTGGAGCCAGAGAAAGGACCGAGATGCCGCCTCCTCCCGAGGCCCTGCTCAGGGTGAGTGCTTTGGCTTCCTGGACCCTGAGGGCTGAGTGTGTGGATGCAGGGACCTCAGGGACAGAGTGAGCCAACGTCCATGGAACCCCTGCCACGGGCCGGGTACGGGGGAGCAACGCGAAGGCCCCGTGCCTCCGGGCAGCTAGCACCCAGGCTCGGGCAGCAGTCTCCACCTAACCACGGAGATGCGCAGAGAGGACAGTGCAGGTGTCGCCAGGTGCATGGAGGGACACAGGGCGCCCAACGCAGTCTAAGTTTCCCTTAAGGATCCATGGAGCCGGCGCCGCGGCTCAGTAGGCTAATCCTCCACCTTGCAGCACCGGCACACCGGGTTCTAGTCCCGGTCGGGGCGCCGGATTCTGTCCCGGTTGCTCCTCTTCCAGGCCAGCTCTCTGCTGTGGCCAGGGAGTGCAGTGGAGGATGGCCCAAGTGCTTGGGCCCTGCACCCCATGGGAGACCAGGAGAAGCACTTGGCTCCTGCCTTCGGATCAGCGCGGTGCGCCGGCCGCAGCGCAGCAGCCGCGGCGGCCATTGGAGGGTGAACCAACGGCAAAGGAAGACCTTTCTCTCTGTCTCTCTCTCTCTCTCACTGTCCACTCTGCCTGTCAAAAAAAAAAAAAAAATGGTCCATGGAGTGTCATGGAGCAAGTGACATTGGAGCTGAGATTTGCACGGATGAAAAATGGGGAATTCCGAGAGGAAATACCCGATCCAAAGGCTCGAGGCAGAAAGGGGGCTGCCCTCCAGGCCAGGGTGTGGCTGGAGAGGCTCCTGGGCTGCAGGAGCAGCGGCCAGAGGCAGAGCTGAGCCAGGAGTGGCCTTCAGCAGGCAGCCTGGACCCAACCGAGGCGGCGTTGGAACAAGGAGGAGAGGATTCATCCAGGAGCCATGATACACAGAGGTGGGCCAGAAGGCGCTGGGGCAGACGGGCCTTGGTGCTGAGGCTGTCGTCATGGAGACGGGAGACACAGTAGGCCCAAGGATTCCGTGTGCTCACCCCACTATATCTGTACTGAGCTTGCATATTGTCATTTTTCCTTGAAGACATCCATTCACATAGCGGTTACATTGTCATCTGGGGAGGATTTAAAGTGTGCAGAGGGTAGGCTGGCTAGGTGAGCTGCAGCTACATCGCCACTCTGTCTAAGGGACTTGAGCTTTGTGGATTGTGATAGCCACAGGGGGTCCTGGTGCCAGTCCCCCGTGGGTGCCCAGGGATGCTGTACCCAGAGGAGTAGGCTGCCCAGTCCCCAGTGGACATGCCCCACCCCCAAAGGGCACTGAAGGTATAACAGAGGGCAGTGGTTTAAAATAAACATTTTGAGCCCCCCCTTTTTTTTTTACAGGCAGAGTGGACAGTGAGAGAGAGAGACAGAGAGAAAGGTCTTCCTTTGCCGTTGATTCACCCTCCAATGGCCACTGCGGCCGGTGTGCTGCGGCCGGTGCACCGCGCTGATCCAAAGGCAGGAGCCAGGTACTTCTCCTGGTCTCTCATGGGGTGCAGGGCCCAAGCACTTGGGCCATCCTCCACTGCACTCCCTGGCCACAGCAGAGAGCTGGCCTGGAAGAGGGGCAACCAGGACAGAATCCGGAGCCCCGACCGGGACTGGAACCCAGTGTGCCGGCGCCGCAAGGCGGAGGATTAGCCTAGTGAGCCACGGCACCAGCCGAGCCCCTTCTTTGTAAAAGCAGTCACTAGTGGATGCATCAGTGACCTACTGCTGTGTCCTAGATCGCCACAATGCCAGCTGGGCCTGTGCGCAGCTTCAAAAGGCACCGCTGTTCCAGTGCCCGCCTCGCTCAGGCTTCCCCCAGCAGCCACCCCTTCCTGCAGCAGGAGACCCTCTCTGTAGTTGAGGAGCGGGGGGGGGGGGTCACAGGAGTGCCTGGTCCTCTCTTTCATCATGGGAGGCACCCTGCTTGGCAGAGTGAACACCTCACGGCACCCACACCCGATGCAGGGGCTTGTCCCGAGGCCAGGGTCTTGGGGACTGTCTTAGAATTCTGCCTTTCACAGTTGGAACTTCAAAACACACACACATGAAAATAAGTATCAAAAAACCATCCGCATAATTCCATCACTCAGGACTAACTACAAGTCTGCTTTGGGGTAGACCATTCTACTTGTCTATCTCCCTCTCATGCTCTCCTGTGCTATTTAAAATTTAATAAATGCACCTGTATATAATATCTAAATAATCTGCAGAATGCTGCATGTATTTAAGACAGTTAAGCACAAAAATGGGCACAGGCATTTGGCCAAGCAGTTCAGATGCTTCCTGGGACCCGCACATCGCATATCAGAGGGTCTGGGTTCGAGTCCTGGCTCTTCCTCTGATTTCTGCTTCCTGCTAATGTGGACACTGAGAGGCAGCAGGTGGTGGGTCAAGTAGTTGGGTCCCTGCCACCCACTGAGAGACCCAGATTGAGCTCCTGACTCCCTGCTTTGGCCTGACCCAGCCCCAGCCACTGTGGGCATTGGGGGAATGAACCGGCAGATGAGAGATTTACCTCTGTCTCACAAATAAATTAAATAAATAAACTTTTTTAAAAAAATGCACAAAACATTAGCTTCAACCTCTCTGTCATCATTTTGCATGTATCCAGAAACTAAAGGAGAAAAATAAAGCAAAGGAATCATGTAGCAATTGTATGTAAATCTTGGATGCTGTTCCTCTCTGTACCATATACAAATGTCATGTCAAAGTGACTGTATTAAAATACAAATGGCATTTTTGGACTACATGGCTGGCCCTCTGTGTATCTGGGAATTCAACCAGCCTTGCGCCAAAACTATTTGAGAAAAAAAAATTGCATCTGTGCTGAACACGAAATGACATTTGTCTTGTCCTTACTTGCTAAGCAATACGGTGTGACAGCTGTTTACACAGCACTGCCTGGTAGACCTAGAGACGATTTTTTTTTTTTTTTGGCAGGCAGAGTGGACAGTGAGAGAGAGAGACAGAGAGAAAGGTCTTCCTTTGCCGTTGGTTCACCCTCCAATGGCCGCCGCGGCCGGCGCACAGCGCTGATCCGATGGCAGGAGCCAGGTGCTTCTCCTGGTCTCCCTTGGGGTGCAGGGCCCAAGCACTTGGGCCATCCTCCACTGCACTCCCTGGCCACAGCAGAGAGCTGGCCTGGAAGAGGGGCAACCGGGACAGAATCCGGCGCCCTGACCGGGACTAGAACCCGGTGTGCCGGAACCACAGGCAGAGGATTAGCCTTGAGCCGCGGCGCCGGCCCTAGAGACGATTTAAAGTGTGCAGCAGGATGAGCGTAGGTTATATGGAGACGTCATCTTCCACAAGGGACTTGAGCATCTGGGAATTTTGGTATCTGTGGTGGGGAGGGCGGATGCCTGGGACCCATCCCCTGCAGACACCCAAGGACAACTGTATATGCATTTATAGTATATATCGTCAACACCAGATATTATATGTGTTATATTATGTCTAGTTGTTATATAGAGTATATGAAGATAGGGTATTAGAGTGTATGTTTATTATATGTGGTATACTACATACATGTAGCCATAGAGTGTGGCAATCTACTTTCCTCATCGATAACCTGTTGGACTATCTTTTTGTGGCAATACTGATGTGCCAACAGCATCGTTTGTTTCTTCTTTGTAGACTAACATGCAGTTGTAAGACATAATGTAGAGATTCTGTGTGTATTTCTCCCGGTTTCCCCAATGGTGACAACTTGATACTGACGTTGGTTCAACCCTTAGATCCTACGAGGATTTCTCCAGTTGTGTGTTTGTGTGTGTGCATGTGTGTGTGTTCACATAGGATTTTATGTCACCTCCTTTGTAGTGCCCAAATCACACTGTGCGGGTACAGCTGAGGACGCTCCCCTCTCTCCTTGCTGGACTGGAATCAGGGTGCTGTCGCTGCAGAGGGAGGAACTGTCACCCAAGCAGCAGAAGCAGTCAGGGACTCCGCCACCCGTGCAGAGATGGCGCCGGCATCCGAGTTGGTGGCCCCAGGGGCCCAGTGACCCAGTCAAGGGCCCGGTTCTCGCCTCCTCTCTGCTGGGCCACCCCGATGTTGGTTTCACTCTCAGGCTGGTAGCAAGCAGTTCCACTAATTATTCTCAGTTATTTTCTTGGGATAAAATCCTAGAAGTGGAACTGCTGGGTCAAAGGGTATGTACACCTTTAAGGTTTTGATAACATGTTTGATTTGGCTTTTTAAGTAGATGTTCAGGGGCAAACTTCCTCCCTCTGGTCCCAGCTTACTCTGAGCTCAGACTGGTCATTGCCGGTTGGATAATTCCTTCTCCTGTGTTCCAGACCACATCCAGGACCCTGAGGAGGAGCTGGCCCTGACAGCCGTGTTTCCCAACGGAGCCTGTGAGGACCTCACCAGTGGGTTAAAAGCCTGTGATGGAGTCGTCCACACTCGCGCTGAGCCCACCGGAGACTCGAGATAAAGACTGGACTGTAGGGCTGACCTTGGCCCTGACCTACGGGCTGGGCCCTGGTTCCTCTCACTGAGCCTGCATCTTACTGTTGACCACAGGTGGCGACTGCAAAGACCCCTCCAGCCAGGGGCTGCCATGTTCACCGTCACCATTCAGGCCGCAGGACTCAGCCGACCTAAGAGAAGTCTCTTCCCCACTTAGCATTGGCTCCCTTGCTGGTCGCAGTGCGGTCGGTTTGTCTCTCTGTGCCTCAGTTTCTCTAAGCCAGTGAGACAGACGGCCCCTCGGGGCTCCGCCATGCTGTGGCCTCCTGGGTATGTTTGCGGTGCTCTGGGCATGTGCCCCAGAGTGCAGCTGGCAGGGTCCCTGAACCACAAGTCATCAGTTCGGAGGTCGTGACCTTGGACATGTTGTCGCTCCGTCTGAGCCTCCTGCTTCCCCAGTGCACAGGGGAGCTGCCAGCTCTGTCGCTTTCTCCGACCACAGGTCAGGCCCCCTTCCAGGCTGCACTGGAAACGTGTGCGTGTATAGGGAGGGAGGTCACTGTGCCTGTGGGCTTCCCTGGCACTGAGTGGACATCCCGCAATGTGCAGCGACAGTCTCCAACAGCAAAGAACTGGTCCTCTCAAAACGTCAGGGTGACACCTCTGAGAAACTGAGGAACCAACACTTCTGCCTTCAAATTCCAGGAAGGATCGCCTGGAACACATGGTCTGGCTTCCCGGGACCTTGGCTCTCGGAGCAGGCCAGGGCCGCAGCCCTCTGTGTGCCGTAGGGCCAGGACAGAGATAGCTGTGTGTGCCTGTGAGAAGAAAGGGCCTCTCTGTCTCTCATGTCGACGTTGACTGTCTGTGCCAAGTTCTTTGAGGATAAGAATGCTGGGAGCTGCCTGTGGCACCCAACAGAAGGAAAGCCGGGGGCAGTAGGGCCCAGCACTGGCTCTGGGTCTCAGGTCTTAGCCAAGGTCAAAGCAGGCACAGCCCAGAGGTTCTTGCAGTCCTTTCTGTGTGTCTGAGCCAAACAGGGTAGAGGAGTTTCTCCTGGAGCCAGGCCGGCCACCTGTTCACTCACAGAGGGAACCCTGGATTACCCGGTGGCCTTCCTTGCCTGTCCCTGGAGAAGTGTGGAGTCCTCAGAAAGGCAGCAGCAGCCCTGGTTCCCCCTAGCAGGAAGCCCTGTCCGAGCGAAGTCGCAGAATTCCTGCACTCGCGCACACGGCTCCCAGCAGATACACCACTGTGCCTACTCTGGGCCTCGCACCCCCGAGCTGCTGCCTCTCTTTGATTCGCTATGCCAGCTCTCATGATGGCGGTGCCAACGTTTGGAACGAGGAAGCATCTTTGGCTGAGGGACTCTGATGTGTAGAAGGGACGGACTCTGCCTACCTGGTGCCTGTTTCTTCCCCGTAATAGGGAGCCCAATGCTGGGGACGGTGGGGGGATGAGCAACTATCTTTGGGGTTGGCCGGCTGCGGGCGTTTCAGTAATGCGGGGCTGTCACCCACACGGGGCCCAGCTGGCTTCCTTCTGCACGAGAAAGAAATCGAGCGACCTCGAGTCCTTGGTTCTACTGATTGTGTTTCCAGATGGGGAGCCTGGTGTTTTGAAGCTGCTGTTTCCTTCCATTTTGCTATTAATTTCTTTATAGTAATCCTGATGGAGTGTTATTATTTGGTGGTCGGGGGGAGGAGCCTGCCTTAAGTTAGAAATTTGTCTGGCCAGTGCCGCCTGCGGCGCCGGCACACCGGGTTCTAGTCCCGGTCGGGGCGCCGGATTCTGTCCCGGTTGCTCCTCTTCCAGGCCAGCTCTCTGCTGTGGCCTGGGAGTGCAGTGGAGGATGGCCCAGGTGCTTGGGCCCTGCACCCCATGGGAGACCAGGAGAAGTACCTGGCTCCTGGCTCCTGCCATCGGATCAGCGTGGTGCGCCGGCTGCGGCGCGCCGGCCGTGGTGGCCATTGGAGGTTGAACCAATGGCAAAGAAAGACCTTTCTCTCTGTCTCTCTCTCTCACTGTCCACTCTGCCTGTCAAAAAAAAAAAAAAAAGGAATTTGTCTAAGGAGGAGCAGCAGGGTTTAAAAATCTTTTGGTGTTTGTTGCCAATATTTGAAACTTGAGGGATTGCACACACAAAAAATGCATGTCTAGTGTTCGGGTAGGGGAGGGGAGCTGTTTGCTGCAGTTCACCCCTGCCTTTCTTGGGACCCCTCGCGCCTTCCCCCCTGCACCTCGCTGGCACAGCACAGCTGCCCGCTCCTGGCACAGGCAGGCGTTGGCTCAGCAGTCTTGTCTACAGGTGGTGTGCACGTGAGTTCCTCATGGTCTTTGTGGCTGCTGGAACCGGCTGATGGTCCTGGTGTGCTGGACTTGGGTCCTGCCTCCCAGTGGCTGCAACAGGACTCACAGCCCAGCCACACCACCTGGGACATGGCCACTGCAGGCTCTCTCCTTGGAAGGACGTCTCTCTGGGGTTTTCTAGCAGGCAGAAGAGCCTAGTGCCACCGGGGGGGGGATGATCTTGGTGGTGGGTCTCTTTCTTGGAGAACTTTAAAAAGGCCTGAAGGTTGGGTGGGCCTGTGGAAGGCAGACGCGCTGTGTTAGGTCGGTGGTCCTTAGGAGCCATTGTTGGGGGACCTGCACCCGGGCCACAGGCTGGCCCTCGGGTACTAATCCTTGTAATCTGGCAATAGTTTTGCTACTCCTGGCTGGAATGGCTAATTCTTTATATGTAATAAAACCATGCAGCACTTCATTGGTATCTTATCAAAACACAAAATAGATTTTTTTCCCCTTCATTTTGTTTTGTTCAGATTTCATTTGAGAGGAAGAGTGAGAGAGAGAGATTCCATCCGCTAGTTCGCTCCCCTAATGACTGCAATAGCCAGGGCTGGGCCAGGCCGAAGCCAGGAAGCAGGAACTCCAAGTGGGTCTTCCATGTGGGTGGCAGAAACCCAAGTATTTGAGCCATCACCTGCTACTTCACAGGTACATTAGCAGGAAGCCGGATAGGAACCGGTGCTTTGATATGGATGCAGGTGTCCCACGTAGCGGCTCAATCCACTGCCCCAACACCCACCCACAAGCAAATATTTAAAGAGGTTTTAACGATTGTACTCAGCATACAATACTGTGCGTGTGTACACACGGTTGGCCTTATCTGAGTCTCTTGGACCCGTGGTAATATCTGTATCGTGGTGTCTAGCTTTCAAAGGCTGCCTCACTCTCCAAACCCAGGCACACCTGCGAAGGGGCCGAGAGTGGAGACCCCCAGCCTGGGACTTGAAAGAGCCCCTCTGACCCTGGCAGAGAGCCACGTGCCAGCACTCCGCCATGGAGACCCAGTGCACCTGAAAGCAGCCCCAGCCCAGGGTGGCCTGGACTTTGTCCTGTTTGCGTGAGTGCAGGAAGCTGGCTCTTTGTACCCAAGCACGACAGGTGCCCTCTGACCTGCTCATGTGGGTTAGCTAACAAGCACTGGGAATGTAGCCTGGGCAGTCAGCCACTGGTGTCACCTGGCAGTTCTGGGGGAAATGGGCAGAAGGCAGGGTGGGTGACCCGCAGCCTTTCTAGAGCCTTCCAAGTGCTTTTGACCCCCGGTTTGGAGCCCTAGGATTGCCTCATTTCGGAGGCTGTCTGGTTGGGGCCAGAGGCAGTTTGCCCCACTGGGCTGGGCCGTGGTCCACAGGGTAATGGGACCCCCTTTTGCGGGGGGCCAGGGTGTTGGGCAGCTCAGACCCAAAGTGGCGCTGGGGCTGCTGTGGGGAACCTTGTCTGGGCTCCTCCCTGGGTGAAATTCGGAGACTCGTGTGTCGGAGCTGGGTCTGAAGTCTTGGTTCAGGCTTGCTACTGCCTGCTCGGCCCTTGGCTGGCATCGTTAGGCGCTTAATGGAGCCGCCGGTCACCAAGCCTGCATTTTTTGAGTCCTAGTTGCAAAAGCAGAGTCCCTGTTTCAGAGCCCTAAGTCCCTTCTCTTCCTGGCTGGGAAGGGAGGTCTTGCTGAGTGTTGCCTTGATCGTGACCCTAAGCCCAGACCCAGCTCCTGCTGAGCTTCCTCCAGGAGTAACATCCTCCAGTACCCGTGGCCACCAGCGCAGCCTCTCCCAGCTCCTGGCTCGCCAACAGGACCGGGGGTCTCACCTTCTGCCACTGCCCGTCCTGTCTGGTCTAGCACGAGGCAGGTGGGTAGCTTGACATTTTGGCATCACCGCAGTAGCAAACAGTGACGAGCCGCAGGTGAGATCAGCTTCATGATACATTGTATGTAGCCCAGAATATCTAAAATAGTATTACATTGTGCGTTCTGCCTTGCGAGCTGGGTCATTGAATCTCAGGGCATTTTCACACTTCTGATTCAGAAATTCAGTTTTCATCAGACCTACCTCGTCTGGACCTGGATTCCCTGACATTTATAATTATAAAAAATCCACACCCTCAAATTGTTTTAGATACACTTAAACTGTTTTCCAGAAACTGATCTGAGTATCTTGATTTAAGTTCCAGTTAATTAAAATGAAACACGATTGAGAACTCAGTTCCTCGGTGGCTATGGGCACAACACCATGGCTGGTGGTCACTACCTTGGACAGCACTGGGGACGAGGGGAGATGCCAGGGACCATAAATGGGGGTACCCTATGGTTCCTGAGACAACTGGTCCCCAGCTGCACTTGCTCAGAGCTGGCCGGTCATCCCAGAGCCCCAGCAGGCAAGGCCCAGGACAGGAGGTGCCATCCGGGGCTTCATCCTTAGGAGGCAGAGAACCTGGTTCCCTCCATGGCTTCATGATCCACTTGTGCCTTCGTCTGCCCAGACCAGTTCCAGCCGTGGTGCTGTCGCCGGAGACATCCAATCAGAGGCTCTTGTCCTCATGCAAGAAAAGGATTTCCGACGTGAGGCAGGGAGGAGCGGGAGACATGCTCGCCAAGTGTAACTCCTAATGCACCAGGCAGGCATCTCAGCGAAGAACAGCCCAGCCCACATTCAGACCGGAGTTTTTATGGCCACGGGTAGGGGCTGTCCATGTCTCCTTCCCCCTCTCTCTTCTTGGGACATTGGTGGGTGGAGAGATTTCTGGAATTCCTCCCAGGACTTGATCAGCACAGCTGCACCCCCATACACACTCCCACCTCCCCAAGCCCCCAGCCCCACCCATGCCTGAGGGCTGGAAACCCCCCAGTGAGGTTCTAGAACATGGACAAGACTTTCAGTGTGCAAATGCTGGCCTGCTTCCAAGGCTTGCTTCTGCATTGTTTTCTCATTCTGTTAGGGGAGATTGTCTTCGCACAAGAGAGAACAGTGGGAAGCAAGGTAGCAAGGCTTAATGGGGCGGGGCATCCATCAGAACGGATGGGACAGAATCCGAGAGACGCTGCCCAGTTATCCCGACTGGGGAAGGCAAGGTCACGCGGTTCAATGGAGAGAATACACCCGGCAGGCCAGGCGGGCGGCTCGGCAGAGAGCTGAGAGCTGGGCGTGCAGTCTGTGTTCAGACCGGGCAGAGGAGCCTCCCCTAGGGCACCTGCCTTGGAGGAAGGAGGTAAAGGCTTCATGGCACCATGTTATCAGGCCGGAGACCCATTTGGTGCTGGGGAGAGAAGATTCTCTGGGCGCTGAGACCACCTGGAAAGTCACCAGTTATGGGGGGTGGGCAGGACTCCGAGATGTAAAATCCTGGGCTACTTCCAAGGTGAGCTTCTGCACAGGCTTGGATTGCCTTAGGCCCCTCCCACACACGGGGCTGATTTCTAACTTCACAATCCCACCGCACGGAAAGCCCTGTCTTCTTCAGCCCCTCTGACGCACACAGGCTAACAGCGTCTACCTTGCTGCCTGACAGCGCCTGTCTCTGCTCAAGCACCCACTCATCAGAGGCCCGGGCCACCGGCTGTGTCTCACACCTTTCCTCCCATGAAGCAACGCTTTTATTCTAGAAGCACGTGGCACGCGTGTCGTGTGTGAGATGGCCCCCGCCTCTGGCTGACTCATCCTCAGCCCTGCTCTGTGCCTCCCAGGGGCTGGCCAGGTGGGTGGCTCCACCGCCTTTGCAGCACAGGCTGGGACAGCTCCCCTGACACCCACAACCACAGCCCTGCTAAGGGGGGGAGCAGGGATTTCACTCGGGCCCCTTCCTCCAAAAGCAATCAAGTTGGGTACTTCATGGGAGCACTTTAAAGAACTATTTTATTGGCCGGCGGCCATTGGAGGGTGAACCAACGGCAAAGGAAGACCTTTCTCTCTGTCTCTCTCTCTCTCACTGTCCACTCTGCCTGTCAAAAAAAAAAAAAAAAAAAACTATTTTATTTAGTTGAAAGGCAGAATGACAGAGAGAGAGGGAAAGAGAGAGAGAGATCTGCTGGTTCACTCCCCAAATGGCCGTAAGGCTGGGGCTGGACCAGGCCAAAGGCAGGAGCCAGGAGCTTCCTCTGGGTCTCCCACGGTGCAGGGGCCCAAGCACTTGGGCCATCTTCTGCTGCTTTCCCAGGAGCGTTAGCAGGGAGCTGGATCAGAAGTGGAGCAGCCAGCAGGTATAAATGCCTGTAGGCTTGGGTGTCGCTCCCCCTCTTCGTGGAGGAACAACACAGGACCCTGTGCTGTTCTTTTGTCTGCTCGGCCCTCCCCGGGTTTGCTGCTGGTTCTTCCCGGGTTGGCTACCGTCCCTTCCACCTCCGTGGAAGGGCGGTTCCCCCTAGCCACTTTCCCCACTTCCGCGGGGGAGTGGCACACCGCCGGCTGGCTCTCTCGGGGGCTGCACAGGTGTTCCTCTTAGATGTTCCCCTTAGATGTTCCTGGTGCATGTTGTCTCTCTCCTCCTTTATAGTCCTCTTCCACCAATCCCAACTCTGCTACCCACACGCCGAGTACGCTGCTCTCCTCCAATCAGGAGCAGGTCCTGCAGTTTATTGGTTGAACTGGAGGCAGCTGTGTAGAAGCTGTTTCCTCCTCTCCCAGCGCCATATTGTGGGAGAGCAGATGCATAGAATAAGTCTTAATTCCAGTAACAGTCTAGTCCGAGTTGCTCCCAGTTGCTCCCCACACTTGGGGGTGGTGGCCACAGGGCTGGCCTCCTTCCCGCGGTGTCCACCTTCTAGGGCGTGCTGCCTCCACCAGTGGGCACTCAGGGAGGTTGCCGGGCGGCTCAGAAATGGACGCCGCTGAAGGAGGGGGTGCACTGGGCAAAGCAGCCAGGCCCTGGCTCCATTTATTTCCTTTACCCCCACAAGCCCCTGCCCAGCCCGTACCTGTGTGAGGCCCTGGCTGACCTTGGCTGGGCCTTGAGACATTTTGGGCCCCTCCTGAATTTGGAGGGAGACAGTCGTGGGTGACCAGAGCACTCCCTGGAATTCTTCCTATGAGCTCACCGCGTCCTAAAAAATAAATTGCACTTGTTTTACACTCTTAGGGCAGGTGTCTCAGAGTCCAAGCCGTAGTCCTGTGGCGATAACTAACTGGTTATCCGTCCGTTCCTCCTGCAGGTCATTTATTGAGCACCTACTGTGTACCCGACACTTTGACAGCAAAATGAGTGAGGCAATTGCCTTGCACTTGAATAGTTCCCGTCCAGCTGGGACACAGCAAGGCAGAGGCTGTGGGGGTACAGGGAGAGCAAGGCTTGACGCATGGCAAAGAGCAGGCACCAAGGTCGGGGAGAAGGTACTGGGGTGCAAGGCTGCTCTGGGGGCTGCCGGAGATCGGGGTGGCTGGGATGTGGCATGGCAGGGCCAGAGCGGGGGCTGTAAGGATGGTGGGAGTCCTGGAGGGATGGACCCTGCTCTAATTTGCTTCTGTTGGCTTCCCTG